AGATAAGATGACCTGAGTGTAAAAATGAATCGGCAAGACAGCGGATAAGGAGGTGCCTAAGAGTCTAGACGGCCTACCGTCGATGACGAACTGCCTGTTTACCGGTACACGCCCGCTCACTGCGAGGATCTGATAGCAAGTGTATGAGCGCGTGTGTGGGCTGGGACTTATTGTTAAGTTCTCTTGGACTGGGAATAGTTGTGCAGGTATGATTAGAACGCGGTCTACCCCAGATACGAGTTGGCGGCAGAGTACAGCATCGTTGAGTGAACCCCATCAGGTCTAAGTATGACTCCTCTTAGGCAAGGTTCAGACTTCGCGACGGCAGCGCTTCGGTCGCGCGTTCGACGCGATCGATGCGCATGCTTTCGACTGCATCGATCGCGTCGAACGCGCGACCGAAGCGCTACCGTCGCGAAGTCTGAACGCTGCCTCAGAAGAGTCATACCTAGTCGCTGATGAAGGGTCGTACTTGCCTTCGAGATTTCCTGCGCTTGTTGACACTTCTCGATTTTACTCGTTCCGCTTCTGCTATTTTGGGAGAAGGGTTTCCGGATAACCAAATACTGTAGAAGGGAGTGGGAAGTCACCACCGTCACGATGCTTCACCTTTTTGACGATTAGAGGGAGGTCGTGAGCCGTCACGGCAGTGACAGCCCATGCTAGTCGTACAGCGCGAGGTTTCCCTCCTCGCCTTCCTCATAAGTTCCTCCTTTTCAGAGCGGTGCGAGAGGTGAGTCAATGAAGAAGGTGCCATGGTAGGCCAAACAGCGGCCATACCCCTTATTTTGGAGTGTGCCCCTAAAGTTCCCTCATGTGCCGCATGGTGGCGAGAGGCGCCATCGCGTAATGGAGCCCGTAGGGGTGTTCGTTTCCGTAAGCCAATCGTGACCAATCATCGTCAGAGAATGAAGACTGCTGTCCAGGCATCGAACTGCTCTTTGGAAGGGTGGCGCGTTGCTCCATAACTGGCTATGTCCGTGTATATTCATCATCACTTAAGTCGGGGCGTGTCAGCCGTGCGTGGGTTTTGGAAGGTGTAACCCCTTTCCCAGCTGTTCATTGGTTGCTCCAAACAGCAATGAGCGATGGGAAACGAGTTGGTGCCGGTCCAAGACCCACACGCCTTTGACATGCCGCTCCTCACTGACATCAGTGCTAATGAGGGTATGTAGAAGGGAGAATCATTTCTCTTGCATTAGACTTGCCCCCTTCCAACTACTTCTACGAAACTGTTACATGGGCCAAGCATGGCGATTGGAAGCTCGTGAATTATCGCTAAACCGTTACTTCGCATATTTTAGCGAAATCGAAATGTCTCGAAAACAACGGCGGTTGCGAGCAATTGTGTTTCCCAGGTGACTGCCAGAATTTCAAGGAGTGCAGTGATGAAACTTTCAAGTGCGCCTGTGCTAGTGGTTACTTGCTGAATAAGGAGGATGCTACGAAATGTACAGGTCAGTTCATTACCTGAGAGGATATGCACAGCACGCGGTGGCCGCATGGGCAGAGACCGACAGCCTTCCGAGATATGCGCACTACACGACAGCGTCAGGGGCGGAGACTGATAGCCACTGTGTTTTCGTTACCAGTACGCTTCTCGTTCTAATATGATAAAGAGAGCGAGGACGTGCCAGTGAGAAAGGCACAAGGTCATGAGTCTCCTCCCATCCGCTCATCGCGCAATACTCCTTCAACGAGGTTTTTAGGTGAGTGATTGGAACTAATGTTTACGTGACAACGTGCGAACGATGCATAGGTTTTGCGTTTAGCGATAGTTCAGTGTGAAGGTTGACTAGGGCCAAGATTATAGGGTTATGTCACATAGTGATAAGGAAGCCTATGGCGAATTGTAGATTTCCGCCCAAAGCAGCGTTCAGACTTCGCTACGGCAGCGCCTCGGTCGCGCGCTGGGCGCAATCGATGCGCAAGTGCTTTTAGCTGCATCGATCGCGTCGGACGCGCTACTGAGCGCTGCCGTCACGAAGTACTGCAACGGCTGTCTTAATGATGCCGGTTTTGGCGCAGATGCGGACTTGGTGGGGGGGATTTTCGCTCGTATTCATCGATTACTCCCGATCCATCTGTATCGAAAGCCTGTAGATTCACCTGTCAAGCTGTTAGCAATAGCAGAAGTTTCTCGCCTATAGTTGAGCGGAGTCTGTGAGTCTCACCTAGGTGTGACTTGCAATTGTACAGGAATACCAAAAGGGACCAGCAGAAGTGCAAAACGCCCTCCCAAGCAAAAGCAACGCCAAGAGTCTCTTCTTTCTAAATTGCGGTTTCAATCTGGCCTTGTGCCTGTGTCGGGAAATTAGGAAAGGATTTACATCTTTTTTTTGATTTCTTTTTCTGCTTCAGCGAGCCGGTCGCACGTATATCCAAACCCGGAATTTATTTTCACTTGTGTGTATTATTAATTATCACATCTCCAATGTTGTAATTTCATCAAATACCCTCGCCTGGTGAAATTGAAAAATGTGACGAAAAGACCCAGTTCATGTGCAAACATACGGAAATTTGCATCGACATTGATAAAGTCTGTAATGGCCGATGGGACTGCTATGACGGCAGCGATGAAGATATGCGGGGAATATGTGGTAAGCGCTAGAAGTAATTTTCAATAACCTGTTCAGCAAGGCAGTGTTCATACTTTGCGATGACGCGCGTCGACGCGCGTTACAGCGCTTTGCAGCGCGTCGACGCTCGTCACCGCGAAGCTGGACGTTGCCTAACAGTGAGCGATGTGATTTTGTTCCAAAAAAACGAATGTAAGAAACGAAGAACTGCAATACTTGCATTTCTCTCGGACAGCAAAACTCAAGCTACTTATCACGTATAATTTCCAGACTTGTTTTTGTTTCAGCAGGCAATTTCTCATGTTCCAACAAGGAATTCAGATGCGATTCGATGATGTGTATACCTGAGCATTTGGTATGCGATGGACGACCTGACTGTGAAGATCGTAGCGACGAGAAGTGGACGGTGTGCAAAGGTGGGCGGAGTTTCCAGGCTTTTGGGCGGGGTTTCCCACTCTTAATGGATTCAGAGGTGCTTGAAGAGTGCGGGCAATCCTGCCTGTCTCTCATCTGAGGAAGATCCTTTGATTCTTTGACCCTAGACCTGCATAACGCTTTTTTCCGAAATGCTTACCACTAATTGCAGACCGTGTGCAGAATTGCGTTAAGGGCACCTTTGCGTGTGCTCCTACGAAGCAGTGTCTACCGGACAGCTGGAAATGTGACGGACGAGTTGATTGTCCGGATCGATCGGACGAAAGAAATTGCGGTGGGCGATTTGGATGATTACACTTACTCCTTATTAGGATTCTTATCTTTACTCAATACTTTTCAGAGCCTCGTGACTGCGATGCCGACCACTTCCAGTGTTTGACCGGTCAGTGCATTCCTTTACAATGGGCGTGCGACGGACGCGCAAACTGCCGAGACGGTTCGGACGAGTTACACTGCTACGAGGTAGGTGGCACGGACGAGTTTCTGGTCCATTTTCTCGTTTTAAAGTTTTATGCGGGAGGAAAATTGCTTTAACAGCTTTGAGGGAGAGGGGGCTGCGGACGAGACAAGACACATCTATTTTCTGCCCAGCCGGTAGCTGATATCATCGAACACTATCACAGGGCGAGATCACGAGCTTGAGAGGGCGTAGATGGGTAGAAAGAGGCGTGGCCCATTCTCGCTGCCGATTGGCCCTCTTCCAACTGCCTTTTCACCGTAAAAGCTTACATTCATAACTAGCGCCATTGCTCTTTCATGGTTGCGAGTTGGTCGTGAATTTCGGCTGGCGATCCAGTCATCAGCTTTGGTCTGGACACTGTCGCTGAACTGTGTGGACATACGTCGATTCGTCAAAATGGCTCGATGAAAAGGACTGCGCCAATATCAGTAAGGATTCTCAATCCATAGACACCCTTTTCACGCGTAACAACACAACGGGAGATGTGCGGTTGCGAGCTGCCCCTCTAGTTTGGGCGTCGTGTCGCCGGTGGGGGTTGGGGGGGGGGGTCCCACGACACGCAAACCCTTTGTTTTTAACAACTCTAGTGACGATTTCTGGCGATAAGCATGCGGTTGCCGTTTGTTAGTTGCTTGTGCCTGTGTGGCTTGTGCTTAAAGGCGTCATTCCATTGCTGATGTGTGCGGGGTAGACCCAGCCTCTTCTGCTAAAAGTCAGCTTATCCAAGACGGTAGACAGGTCGAACAGGCCAGTGAGGGCAGCATGATGGTTAGCCTGACGCCGCCTATTCAGCCAGCGTACGATGTGTCTTTAATAACAAACTGTGCGCTTGCCTCCGTGGATCCTGGTCATTCCATGTACAAGGTGAATGGGTCCACAGCTGGAGCACCGCGCCATTTTTCTCCAGTCAAAAGTGCATGGGAACGGAGCTGAAGGGTAGTGGTGCGCGAGTGCCCGTTTCCGGACACCACCCGCACTGCCTCACGGCCAGCCCGTCCGCCTAACCATAATCCAACGCGTTACTTTGCCTACGCCTTACGCACTTCCGATTACTCCCATTACCACTAGATGCATGTTCGGTGCTTGGATTTGCCTATCGAACGCAAGTGCTCGCACCCTTGAAGGATGCGCGCGGGCGGAGTATGGAAAGAGGCATTTCTGGCCACGAACCAAAAATTTTTTTAAATTCCCCTTTGAACCAACGCCCCGTTTCCGTGCCCTTCTAGGCGAAGAACATGGCGCGCTACTGCTGCTACGGGCCCTTTCACCTCGCACACGGATCGTCCTCGGAAGTTGGTGTACGGATTGTTTACATGTCCCTTCGGCGAGTGGCGGAGGGGGGGGCACTTTTTTGCTACTTCTCATCGACGTGTCGACCTATCTAGACAGCCTCTTCTCGAGTTGACAGGTTTTAACATGATGGCTTGACGACCTTGCTCCAGCTTCACAAGAGTTCACAGGTTTCGCCAGAGTGAGACTTGTAAACCGGAACTGAGGAAGCAATGAAAGTGCAAAATGCCCCCCCGTCGCCGAACTGCGCCCGTCCCTCCCTTCTACGGATATGTACCTGGTCTCCTTCTACGACCTCGCCCTCATCATTATCAGCTCGTCTATCCGTTATTTTTTGGCAAGACTTAGCCTTAGAGATAGTCACTCTGCTGCGGGCTTGTCCTGTATGTAGTCTTGTTCGCCCAGGCGCTGAGTTTGGCGCGGCGCCTGCCTGTCGTCCTCCGGTTGTTGAAGAGAGCAAGCGACAACAGTTGGTGGAAACTGGACTGGCGCAGCGCAAACGCCAGCCCGCCTCCCCCTCCCTCCTTAACACGCCCCATAACATTCACGCGAACAAGAGTGCATATCCTTACTTTTTGCCTTGTATGTCCAGTTAGAGAACCGTTCCAAATGCAGCATTGCTTCAGGCTCGACGCGATACTGCAGAAAACTCAACGAATACCTCTGCCGTCGTGAACAACGATGTATCCGACGAAGCGCCGTCTGTGACGGCATCGAAGATTGCGTTGATGGGCAGGATGAAAGGAAATGTCGTGAGTAATGCATGTCGATCGATAGTTTTAGCTTACCTGAAGATCAATAGAATGCAGTCGTTTCAGATGGAAAGAAGTGTGCGCTTGGTTTGTTCAGTTGCCGTAATGGTCAGCAATGTATCGCCGGACATTTGGAATGTGACGGTGTGGCTGACTGTGATGACGCGAGCGATGAGCATGAGCATTGTTGTGAGTTTCAGTGTTTTCCAGAAGAAGATGCTTTTTGAAACCATCCAGATTCATTTCTATGGTTTTTTGAGAGGCAGTGCGCTAGGGGGAAAGGGGAAGGAGCTTCAAGGTCTGGAAGAAAGCTGCCTCTCTCCTATCTACCGCCCTCTGCCCTTGGTAAACACGATACCATGTTTATAGTTGTAACACTTTTGTGACCTAAAGGCACAGTGCACGAGTGCCTGATAGGTAGCAACCTCATTCGCATAATGTGCTCAGCTCCGCGGCTAAAAACGATGTGCTGCTTTCTGTCACGTGAAAGCGCGCTGAAAGAAACGCTAGAAGCCTGTGACTTAGCTGGCTCCCACCCTGGAGGAGAGGTCCCCGCCCACTTCCCAATCGCGATGAACTTCGATGAAACGGGAAAAACTTACCAACATCTTCCTACTCCCGCATTTTTATATTGAGCTTCCATTTCACGTTGATCGTGTGGGTGGAGAAAGTCCACCGTTGCGCGCCCCTCATTGATGCACCCCACTTACAAAATAGCAACGGAAATGCGCCAATGAAGACTTGAAGTTGGCTGTTTCCGCCCACATTCTCAGCTTGGGCTACGCCTTCAAAATCTTAAGAACATGAAATCACTGCTTTCTTTCTTTCGATCATTTCACCGAGTAGAAGATTTTAATCCTATCTTTTGGAATACTGTAATTTTTGTTGAGAAACATTTTTTCAGCATTCAATGCAAAAGTTGTTGAAGCCCGGTGTCAAGCTCCCGACATCACATGCCGCACATTTACGGGAATCGTCTGTCTTCCAGCGGCAAAGGTTTGTACTTGAACGGTTCTCGTGGAATTGTGTCATGCACACATTTATGTGTACCATATCCTATCCTACTTCTCTAAATTCTAGATATGTGACGGGAATCCGGACTGCTATGATGCCAAAGACGAGGAGTTCTGCGGTTTGATGAACAACAAAGGTATAGTTATTCTGGTGCTTAACTACTGAGGGGGTGTCGCGGAGAAAGAAAGAACGTCGTGGGACGGACGTGCTTCCCTTTCTGCCTTGCTCTGCCGCCTAGTCATTACTTCACACCCACTAATTTCGGTTAGCAAGGACGCCAGGCGAGCAGAAGAGCAGCGTTGCCTGACCCCCCCCTCCCGACTTTAATATTTTACCAAAATCTCACTCACTTTAGATTTGTCTTGTATCTGCTTCTGTCCACCACCAACCCAGGCAAGCCTCAGGGGCGAGCGCTCAAAATCTCTGTTGCTTTTTCACGTCCTGCCATGGCAACTGGAACTGCCAGACACGCAGCTACGTTCAAACCACGTGACGCACTTTCACCCACTGTATGTGGCTGCCCGCCGCCCAACAAAACTCTGAAAGCAAGACGATCGGACCTGTGCCAGGCGTCTATGTTAGATGGGCTGGGAGGAAGGGCAGGCGGGTGCCTGCCGCCTTGCCCGCCGATGTATTATTTATCGATCAGCAGTCGGTACAGCTGCCCCACTCGAACGTCCGGTATATTTCTTGTGGGGATAAACCGCTGACTGGGTACTTTGAAACGGTGCTGCTCCGCCTCTTGGCCGAGTTGTCACGGAACTGCCCTTGTATTGGGTCTGACCCATTTGAACTTGACCCAGTTTGGCCCAATTGCATTAAACTGTGCTTGCATCGAGTTGGATATGGCCAACTCGTTCAACCCGATAAGAGGACATATGACGAGTTATCCTTTTTCACACGCCTTCGGGACGAGTTTTCACATCATCTTCCCTGCCATGCTATTTCGAGGCATGTCCGTCATAATTTGTTACGTTTTGCTTTTCTAGCCCTCCCTCCTATCTTGGCCATTTAGAAAAAACAGTCAGTACCTGTTTACCACCGAGTTAAGCTGCGAAACGACGGTATTTTCTTGCTTTAGTTACAAAAGGGCGTGAAATAAGAGTTCGAGCGAAACTAGAGTACAGTAGCTGGTGTAAGCGCAATGGCGACCTGAGTGCTGTGAACACACGCACATCGCCGATGACATACACCCAGAACTTAACGTCCAGCCGTGAGAAGTTCTATTATGTTTTTTCAGATGTCCCAGCGACCCCATGTGCATTTCGGATCCGCTCGCTCGCAACACTGCATTATTCATTCGAATCGGACATCACACTGTTTTTGCGAGAGCGGATTTCAAATGATGCCTGACGGGTTCGTTGATTTTTTGAACCGAAGTCTTTTTTTACTAATGGTCCGGATTGCACCATTGCCCACTTAGTACTCGTTCTGCTACCTCCTTTCTACTCAATGGTACCTAGCCAGTTGGCGCTGAAATACATCGCGGGCGCAGTAATTTGCCGCACGCGGCGCTGGGCATTTTGCACTTTTCGTTGCTTCACTAGTTTCTGCCGTTTACAGGTCTCACTCTGCGTAAACTTGTAAAACTCTTGTGAAGCGGAGCAAGCAAGCTCGTCAATCCATCATGGTAAAACCTGTCAACTCGAGAAGAGGCTGTCTAGATGGGCGACACGTCGATGGGAAGTCGTTAAAGTGCAAAATGCCCTCCTCCGCTGTCGCCAAACAGCGCCTACATCCGCGATGACATACGCAGCGTAGTGAACCCATGTGCAGTCTGTGCGGATCACTTGGGCGGAGTCAGAGGACTTTAATTTTGCCCCCTACACTGTCGCATTCCTTAACTTACCCTTTCAATAAGGGGGGCTTATTAGGGAGGACACAGTTGACGTATCTTTCCATAGGACCAGCGTGGACTGTTCTTTTGAGTAGTTTGTGGTTTTGCAGCTTACCCTACCTCACGCTGTATGTGCTCCCAATCTTGGTCCCCAGTCGGTGCTTAGTGCTAGATTCCACCGGCCACACCTGCTTTAAAGGCCGAAGCGCCCGCGTTCATTGCATCACAGATGGGATGCGGGGGGGCATATTATTATAGACGATAAGCGTCCTTGCACATAAGCCAATATAAAAAACAGAAAAAAGACTGCACTCTACCCCGGGTACAACACCAGTTTCGCTCCCAGTTTGCCACGTTAACTCCATCTCAACACTACGCCTCGATCCAGACACACCCAGTTCCCCCGATAAGAACCTTACTACCGTGCAAGTGACGATTTCATGCTTTTTTCGTCTTTGCAGCTCTCGTTTTTCACTGAAAGAGCGGGCTTTGTAGGCGGAGTCACTGGAGAGAAGACCCCCACCCCCTTCGCCCCACTCATCTTCTTTCCTACCTGTCGTCTCGCCGAATTCTTCTCCAATTCACTACACAACTCCCTACCCATTCAAAAGTTCACCAGTTTTCCCCGAAGAACTGACTCCAGCGGGGAAGAGATGCATAGCGCACGTGAAACGGAAAAATCAACCCGAAAATTCTCTCACTCTGCTCGGGAGACTTTCTCTCGAGGCCATATACTATCCCTCTCGGTCGGGGTTCCCGTACCCCGAGTCAAGAGCAGGGCTGCACGGGAATGTTATAAGACAATCGTTATATGCTGCGCCGGTGGGCGTGGCAACCGTCGTGCCCACAGACGAGTTGTCCTGCTTGATCGTTGGAATTTGAGTGTCAAAGGGAAATTAGGTGTCGCCTAGCATGGAGTGCCTTCTCCGCTTGAATTCGCATGGTTTTCGCTGCTCCAGTCGACGAACCTATGCACGAGGAATTGCCGCACGATGCGTCGCGCGCTACGACGCGCCAGATTACGACTGTTTTGTCCCTCTCGCAGGCTGTGCCACTCCCATTTTCTGTTGGTTTGTGCACTCTCCATGAGATAGTGCTCCACTAGTCCTGATAACGTCAGGGCGGTGGTATTACGCAGGTGCGTTGCTCGTGCGTTTCTCGCCAAAAGATAGATGACGTGTCAATGACGTCACATGGAACGTTGTGTTCGGAGACGTCATTGACAATGATACAGTACAGGTTTTTTCGTCACTAACGTGTTAGGTGACACGTCATGTCCAAACCCTGACAGGTCGCGGACAACCTTAACAGTTATTCACAGGTCTGTACAGGTCTGGTACCCCTGCACCTCGGTGGAGTCGAGCACATGTCGCGCAGGAAATAGATGGTAGGAAAGCTGAAGCGTCTGCAGTCCACACAATACTGGCCAAAAGGGATGAATAATAGGCACGTCGTGGTAGTTGGAAAGGAAGAAAAAATTAATAGCAAGTAGTGGTTGTGGCAAGGAAGTACCTACATGCTCCCCCCCATGCCCGCCCCCGCCCGACTACTGACTCATTGCCCCGCGAAGTTGCACCACACGCACCGTGCCCGGAACATGAAAGGGAGGGGGCGCGCCTCATTGAACAAGGGAGGGTTGCATGCCATTTTCGTTCGTTTTCGCTTGTGGGATGAACTTTTCCGTTTGTTTTGTAAGAAGTTCAGTTGGTGACGTGCTACCAAAAGAGCAGCAACCGACACCTTCAAATGAACTTCCTGGCCACGCCTTCTCGGTTTCAGGGATATGGAGTGTAATGGAATACATTTTGCGCAGGAAATAGGTGGTAGGAAAACTGAAACGCACTCAGCTCATGCCCAGTCTACACATCTCGGTCGAATGGGCCGTATAACAGGCATGAAGTGGTGGCTAGGGGGGGGGAGACGGCGTGCTGTCCACACGCCCCTCCCCTGTCCAACTCTAAGTCCATTTGTCCCAGATCTTGCACACTTCATACCCCGAAGATGGAAGGGGCGTGGCTGCGTACCTCGTTTGAACAATGTGCGTGATGCGTTTTCCGTGTTTCATTTTTTCATGTGGGTCGACTGTGATTTATTTTGTGCGAGACATAGGCATGACTACTAGTTGTTCCGAAACGGTGATGTACTACCAAAAGAGCAGCAGCCAACACCTTCAAATGAAGTTCGGGCCACGCCCCCGCAGCTTTCGGGGATATAGAGTGCATTGGAATGTGTGTCGAGCAGCAGCCAACAACAACATCTTTATTTATCAGTGCTTTTCTCATTTTGCCTCATCGACGAGCTTGTAGGCAGGGAATAGTTTAATCAGTTTCTCTCGATGAATATGGCCCAGCATTTCCCACATAGTTCTTAATCTGGAACAACAAGCATCTGGGTGATCTAGTGTTTCACCCAAATGGGTATGGGAGAGTGGGCTCACCTAGTCACTGCTTCTGGTCTGCTCACAGTACGGTAGCCTAACCCTTCGAGTAGTTCCTGCGTCTGAAAATGATGTTTTTTCGAGGCGTTCATAGATCTGATCCGCTTTTCACCCCTCCCCCCCCCCGTACTTACATGCCAAAGCAATTCATAAGAATCCCTATCTTCATCTACAAACTCGTTGATGTACTG